CTTACAAAATCAGGGCGACAGTGTAAGTCCTAGAGGAAATGCCTAACCATTAGGATGTCTGCTTGAGTCACAGTTTATATATATTTTATGTGTTTGATACATGTTCAGTTACATAGGATTAGGTTGATTAGGAACTTACTTTGTGAATGTTAAACAGCTCTAGAAACTGTGTGGTGTTTATCAGAAATGAACAAACTAGAGAGAAATGTGATTGTCCCCATGATGCCTCCTGTCATCTCATTCTCAGGTTTTGAGTGTATTTTTCTTTTTTTTTTTCTTTTAACAAATTAATTTATGTAGATATTCCTTGTAGTTTTTATGAAATCACATATTCCCTAATTTCAGTTTTCCACTGATGAAGAGCAAAAGGTTCCTTGTTCTAGATCTTTCAATTTCTGAGGAAGTTAAAGCCATCTTGACAGATTTTGTAGTGTCTGCTTTTATAAAGTAGTGCAGTTTTTTGATTTGGTTCAGAAGACTGTAGCCAAAACTTAAATCTTTTGAACATGGTAGCTCCAGCACTGAATCACAGCATCATAGATTAGTTTGGGTTGGAAAGGACCTTTAAAGGTTATCTAGTCCAACCCCCTGTGATAAGCAGGGACATTTTCAGCTAGGTCAGGTTTCTCAGAGCCCCATCCTCAGGCCTTGAAAGTATCCAGGGATAGGGCATCCACCACCTCTGTGGGGTATCTAATTAAATATGCTTCATAGCCTTAATCATACTTAATCATAAAAAAAAAAAAAAAATTCTTTCATCTGGCTAGTCTGAATCTACCCCTTGTCCTGTCATTATGGGCTCTACTATAAAAGCCTGTCCCCATCCTTCTTGTGAGTCCCTTTAAGTACCAGAAGGCTGCAAGACAGTCTTCCAAAACCTTCTGTTGTCCAGGCTGAACAATCCCAGTTCTCTCATCCTTTCCTCTTCCATCCCCCTGATCGTTTTTGTGACCCTTTTCTGGATCTACTTCAAGAGATCCATGTCTTTTTTGTACTGATGACCCCAATACTGGATACAGCACTCCAGGTAGAGTCTCACCAGTGCGGAGTACAGGGGAAGAATCACCTCCTTTGAACTGCTGGTGCCCTGATGAATCTTGATCTATAAGAAGAAATATGCTTCTAAGAGAAAAAAACCACAGATGTTAAAAAAAAATTTAAAAGCACAGAAATGCAAAACAGGAAAATGGGAAATCTTAAGTGATGATGAAGAATTTTAAAGACTTTCTCATACTGTGTGTCATCTGGTCATTGCAGAGTACAAGCTATTAAAATGTTTGTAGAACCCCTGTTTATTATGATCAACACAGAGGAAGATAAACACTGTAGTTATAGTATGTGTGTATAATAGAACATGTTGGTGGGAAATAAAAAATTATTTTTCCTCTTCACCTAAACTTTATAGATCATAGATCACTACAGATCTATACAGATCACTGTAGACCTCTAGTACATGGCATTCATTCTACATCTAAAGAGGCATGTAATACTTCATTGAAAAAAGATTTATGATTCCCTTTCTTTCCAGGGTACTGTTAAAAATTTCTTTTTATTTTATTACCTGGTTTTGTAAAACAGTTTGAGAAAATTTTCATTTATTTTTATTACTATTTTTTAAATTTAGTAGAGGTATTACGTGTCTCATATATTTAACCTTCTTCATCACTTCATTTACTCTTCCTCTTCTCCCTTTTTCTCCTTCCCATTCTAGTCTGCCATCCACTTTCATTTTTCCTCTCTTCCCTCCTCTCATCTCTATTCCCTCTAGAAAGTAAGAAGGAGCTACATCTCAGTGAGAAGTAATTTTTCAATGTAATGTTAACATTACTTTCATGGCTCAAATTAAACACCCATTCTCCATTGTCTCACTGTATAAAATTTGAAGTCTCATTTCTTGGGAGATAGAGGTGTATTTTTCAACAGAAGATTCACTTTGGACATGACCTTGAGTCCTCCATTTATTCTGTGATTTCCAAGCATTGAATATTTTGATGAGCTGTCATAGCTTAATTTGGTTTAGTTCCATATCTTTACTGCAAATCAAAATTTCTTGTATCTCCTACTTTTATGATTATTCCCTGTGCTGCTGGTCAACTAACATTTCACCTTTTCTTCCCTCCTTGCTGCATTAAAATGGAGCAGTAAACCTGACAGGTGAGAAGTGAAAAATAGTCACTCTTCATTTAATACAGAAAAGGAGAAAAAAGAGAAAAAAAAAAAAGTAATCATGATAATGATCTAAGATAAAGCATCTGTCAGTCTTAAGTGAATGTAGGCAGTAATCTATCAATGAGGGCAAGTGCAAGATTTGCTATGTTATTTACAGCACTGAAAATTAATGTAATACAAGCAACAAAGTTTCATTGAGTTTTTTTTGTGTCTTCATGGAGTAAATTTTCAAGACATAGCAGAGCTGAACAATGCTCATATGATTTTGTTTGTGTTTTAGTGTTGTGCAAGAAGTGGTTGTATGCAATAATCAAAGTTCTTGAAGGAATCCATGGTTGTAGTTGAGGCATTAGCTGCTCTGAATCTTCATAATGTCCCATATACATAAATTCAATACTGACCTATACTTCTACCACTGAAAATGATACAGTGATATCATTTTTCCTTTCTGGATTTTTTTTCTCCACCTATCTCAGAATCTTTTCATAATCTGGGAGAACTCAGATGTCTTCTACTGTCTGGAGAGATTAAAAAAACCCAGAATATTCCTCCAATTAATAATACGTAATAAACCATTCTATTATTCTATAAGTATTCAAAATATTCAGATACATGATTGGAAGATATTTTAGTGGTTTATTATATTAATATGAAATTGCAGCCTAATACTAACTTTCAAGAAGAAAAAAGTTAAATTAAGCTTGTCCCTGGACAGTTCCAGAAACTTAAGGAGACTTAAGACTCCTAGACTTAAAGAGAAGGAAGTACAGGGTAAAAAACTTTTTGAAAACTATACCACACATCTTTGGTAAGAAGAAAGAGCACGAGGGCGAGTGCTACTGTGAAAGTAGTTTGGAGTAGTCAAAATCAAAAGAAAGGAATCTCAAATGAGCTTATATTTGCTAATATTGTTTTAAAAAGACTAAAAACAGAATAATCAGATTTAATTTTTATTGCTTCACTAAAGAGAAGTTAATTCATATGTTAAGGTGTTTGCTGGAGAACAGGTGGAGTGTTTTTACAGTAAAACTTTTTCTTTTTCACAATAAAACCACAGGACTAGAGATTTTCAAAAATTCAGGCAATGGTGTTTGACTTTTTTGCATAACTTTTGAAATCTCACTGTATGGCACCTGGTCTTCATTATTTCAAAAGCAGCAAGAAATTGACTGGAGTAATAACAGATTTATCATTGTCACATTGTGAGTCAATGAGGAAAAAGAAAGTGTTATGTTAATGTAAATACTGGGCACCTGGAAAACATTCTGCTATCATTGCCCTTAAAATAATCTCATTTCTGTTTTCACAACATAAATCCTCCTCTGTTTTCTTCTTCATTTTATGTTACATAAAAAATATCAGCCACATTGTGTTTTCATTCAGGACCCCACAGATAACTTGTGAAGAAAGATTCCACTGTCTGTATAAAAATGCAGAGTGGTAGCTGCTCTTCATGTAGCACGGTTCTCCATGTTTTACATCAGATAACGATACATACAGATAACAGAAGTCAGTTTTAACAAAAATGTCAGTGAGAACACACATGGATTCTGCTTCTCTCTAGAGAAAGGGAAACATAGACAACTTTCTTTCTCTTTTTTCTCTTTCATTCTGTCATTTTTTTTAGTTTTATTTTCCTTCCTTTGCAGTGAAAGTATTACTTTGATTAGAAATATTCATCCAGATCTAAGTCTTGAATATATGTAGACCTGATAAGACGTATGAAGATTGCATATTTCAGCTCTTACAGAGATGAGAGGAAACAAAGCAAATTCTTACATCCTAGAAAATGAGAAGAATATATGTCTTCTCAAATAGGTGTCTTTTGTACTGTTCTTTCTCATATTAAAAATACCTAAGGAGTGCAAATTATTTTTAATAGCAGTGCAGAGCTCTGTGGATGAGATAAGAAATATTTAATGACAATAATTGGGGTGGTCTAGCTCAAGAGTTGGCTGCTTTTTTTATAATTGTAGGTAGCATTCAAAGTAAGAGAATTGTCTGAATTTTTATAGGTGTAATGTTATAAAAGTAAAGTATTAGGATCACCAGAAGGATGTTCTGGAAGAGCAGTTTGAGGCAGAATGCAGCTATTTTATCTCTGATCATTTTACCACTGCAAATTTTAGGTACCCCACCCACCACACATAATTATATTACTTTCGCACTGCATCAAATACTTTTTCAGAAATAAGCACCTTGCCTTCAGATTGTAGTGCCAAACATTCAGGCAGCTTTGTGGAGCTAACATGTCTATTTTCTGTTTATGTGTGTTCACCTTCTCCATGCAGGAAGAGGGCTGAATCTGATTCTAGAAAGAGCAGCATACCCAACAGCAAGGAGGTTCCCTCTCACCATCCCACGGATCCAGTGGAGCTGAGACGCCTTAACTTTCAAACTCCGGGTAAGAGACAATAATTACTCACTGAGACCTCTGTGATCACAGGCTGATTACTGTTGCTATTACAGAAAAGAAACATGGATTGTTTGGAAATATGTATTTTGATCGAGGGTTTGGTGGGGCATTTTTTTTTTTTTTTTGCTGCAAAATATATTTCTTCGTTAGCTTTTGAAATAATTAATAATTTCTTTATTTAAAAGAAAAGAGTGCTTGAAAAAAATTTGAAGTTTTGTAAAAGAAAGCCCAAAGACACATATGCTATATGGATGTGCTTTATCTGCTAAAATTCCGACTTAAACTCAACAGTACTAGAAAATGTTACTGGAAAATGTACATCCCTCTGTTTATTAATGATATTTTTATGGACACTTTTTTGTAAATAAGCTTCCCTTTTATCTACTGCATTATCAGGTAATATATTAACATCATTGTGAGTTCCACTGGTTTGCAAATGTACAATACAGAAGAGAAATACATAACTAGATAAATGGTCTTGATGTTGAAAATAAGGCTGTATGTTATGGTCAAGGAGGATATTAATATATCAGTAGTGTTGAGGTCAGAAGGAACACACTCTTAAATACTTCATTTTTTTTTCATTAATCACTGTTTTATTAAAGCTGTTTCATCTGATACTCAAGAAGCACGAAGAGAGAAATATTTAAAACAGTATTTTTACTGCCTTTGCAGAAGTCAACTTTTACTTAAATATGCTTTGTTTTGATTAAGTTATGTCCCAGTAGACTTGTTTTCTACTACAATATATTTGCATGGAATCTGATGCTAATTAGACACTAAATCTTCCTGAGCCTCATGTTTTTGTCAAGTTTATTATATTAAGTAAAAAAGGTAGTGAATTCAAGTTCATAAAAGCAGGAAATTAAGTGCTTGAGATGCTGAGAATTAGGTGCTGAAGTTGACATGATAAATACTATTAAAGGGTTAAGTGAATGTGCAAATCTCGTTCCTGATCTTCTAAATAATGACTGTATTGAGATGATGTTGCTCCTGAAGGAGTGTGTCTGCAGAGCAATGAATGTGGCTAAAGACCCACACTTCATGCACATGGCAGATGTAGAAAGGGAAGAGTCTGGAGGCTTGAGTTTTGTTCCAGCCTTGCTTTTTCAGTCTGTTCCAGTACACTGCTCCTAGCAGCTAGGGCAAATCAGGTGTGTTTCAGGAGCACATCTTCTAATTTAATTTCATCTTAGTGTGGGAATCTTGTTGTCGTGCTCTGGGACCTGTCTAGCATAGGAACTTAAACACAGTAAATGCAAATAATTGAAAGGTTTTATTCAGTGTCTTTCTGAGGCTACAATTCAGTGGCGGCTCATTGTTTCTGGGTGGTTTTCATCTGTTACTCAGCACTTTTGTAAAAACTTTAAAGAGTTTCACAGTGAAAGAAATATACATACAAGTCTTTGAAGCATGACAAGAAAAAATATTGTTCATGAAGTCTAGCTTATGCCTAAAAGAAGTAATCGTTTGTATACAGGTATATAATGAGTAGAGTAAATGGCTCACTCGAATCACAGAATTGTTTTGTTTGGAAAAGATCTCTAAAATCATTAACTCCAACCATTAACCAAGTGCCTTACGTTCAACAATAAGCCGTGTCCTGAAGTGTGACACCCACATGTTTTCTGAGCACTCCAGGGCCAGTGATTCCACCACTTTCCTGGGAAGCCTGTTCCAATGCCTCATGACCCTTTTGTCATGAAGAATTTTTTCCTAATATCTAATCTGAACCTCCCCAGTGTACCTTGAGGCCATTTCCTCTTCCTGTATCTTGTTAACTTGGAAAAAGAGATTTATTTCCCACCTGGCTTCTTTCAGGCAGTTGTAGGGAGCGTAGGGTCTCCTCTCAGCCTCCTTTTCTCCAAGCTAAACACCCCCAGCTCCCTCAGCTGCTTCTCAGAGGGGAAGAGCTCCATTGCTCTTCTCCGGACACACTCCAGCACCTCAATGTCTTTCTTGGAGTGAGTGCTCCAGAGCTGGACACAGGATTTGAGTTGTGGCCTCACCAGTGCTGAGTACAGGGGGACAGGGGGACAATCCCTGCCCTGGTCCTGCTCGCCACGGAATTGCTGACAAAAGCCAGGATGTCAGATCTGCTCAGTGACCTTCCCCAGCATCAAGGCCAGGTTGACAGGCCTGTACTTTCCTGGATCCTCTTTCTTGCCCATCTTGTTGATGGATGTCCTATTTGGAAACCTCTGGTCAACCAGAATGTCCCCATTTAGGCAGGACTGCTGGTACATGAGGGAAGGAGGCTCAGTGGGTATTTTAATCAATGCCCTTGCTACCCTTGGGTGTATCCCCTCCAGTCTCTCAGAGTCTAGTGAGTTCACAGTGTAGCGGTTCGCTGACCATTTTTTTTCAGGATCAGGGAGACTTAATTCTGCTCCCCATCTTTGTCTTCCAGCTCAGGAGGATAGATACCCACTCAACAGTTGATACTGCTATTAAAAATTTAGGCAAAGAAGGCATTAATTACCTCAGCCTTTACCTCATCAATAGTCACTATGTTTCCCTCTTCATCCAATAAATAATGGAATAATAACTAGATAGATAAGCCTAATTTTCTGCACTCCATTTATTTAGATGCAAAATCTTACCTATCTATTTAGTATTCATCATAATTAAAATGAAACATGAGGGGAAAAAAGCCCTGCTGCCAAGTGCTAACATATAAAATTAATTTATTGTAATTAATTTTTAATTTACATTGAGAAGGTAAAGTTATTAAGAAATGGCAGAATTTGTGGCACTTGTAGACACAGTAATTCCATGTCATTGATCTGAAAAGAGCTAGAGAGGTTTTAAAGCATACTTTTTCTTGCAGGGCTGTAGTTTATCTGGGAAGTTTGCAGTTTTCTGTGAAGCTATTTGAGCAGAACATCTATGATCTGTTTCTACTAGGAACCCCTCTTCTTTGCTATAATCCTTTTCACAGACTGGAGTATTACCATTATTGTTAAAAATACAGTGCATCAAGTTATGTTATTTTTTCCTATTACTGTACCTCTTAAGGTCCCTAGACACAGGTCAGGCCATTATACTACTCAGCATACAACCAAATATCAAGGAGAAAAATCTCACCTCAGTAGGTTTGTCTTACTCTGTGTACTCAGTTAACTTACTCTGTTAACATGTTCTTAATATGTAAACAGCCACAGTGAAATCAAGCTACAGTTCCGTTGTTAGTAAAAGGAGAATTTCACTTAAATTAACTTCAATTAGGGCTACCATGTAATTAAAATCTATAATAAAATAAATTTAAAATAAATAATATAAATAAATAAATAATAAAATAAGATATAAATAAATAAACAAATAATAAAATAAGATAAATTTAACTTAGTTGTTTAAATCCTACTGGAATATTTATCCATCTCCCAACAACCAACACACCATCAAATAACATGCAATAAAATTTTTTTTAAGATGAACATAGAGAAACTACAGAAGGGATATACATTCGGGATATCAACTTTGTCGGGTGTGTTGTTCTTTCACTTTCAAATAAATGGGTTTTATTTTCTGTGAGGTAGCAGAACTAGATAGGGGGGCACTGCAAAGGAGGTAACTGAGGGAAGGGGGTAGGGCTGATGTCGTTCTGTGTTGCGTTCCTTTTACTGAGAAATCTGCTGTTGCCCTTATAAAACTAGGCATTTCTCGACATTGTCTACAGATAAAACAAAGGACAGAGTGCTGAATGTACTATCAGTACAAGTGCATCAAGGTAGATGATTTGACATAGTTATTATTCTAATGATTTATTTCTTTAGATTATGAAAGCAGCCACAGTTTGCTTGGAGCTTTCCAGGCAGACCAAGTGCTTCCAGAAGAAGAAAACAATTTTGAATGAATCCATAATGTACAGAAGTATTAGAGAAAAAAATTCTAAATTACATTGGCATATCTGGACTGGCAATTTTCACTTGGAGAGGTGAATGAGACGCTCCTATAAAATTATGGATTGTCATAAACTTTAGTACTTTAAAGGATTTCTAAACAGCCACTTTCCAAAAATGCTATCAACCATATATTTTGTATAACGAAAGACCTGATCAGATACAGATATCAAAATAATTTGAAACTAAGTCCTTAGGGTAAATTTGAGTTTCTAACCACAATTTTAAATTACTCCCAATGCAGAAGATTAGGTATAGATTTTTGACGCAAAATACGAGAAAGCAATATTTTATCTTTGGTGATATTTAGATGATCATTGCAGTATAAATATGTTGTACTTGTCATAAAATTTTCAATTCAGCATGAGGATGTTATAAAATTTCACAATCTAAGCTACTGGCTTAGGAAATGTCTTGCTTTCCTTTCACTTTTTATTGTCTACATTCTTCAATAATGTAAAGAGCTCTAAAGAGCTCTAACCTAAAGTGTATCCTATCTTACCTTGTTCAGAAAGGATCAAATTTATTTCTGGCTTCCCTCCTCATTGGATGAAGTAACTCCATAGATAAATTTCACACTTTGCCTTAACATTTGGAATATCCCACAGTTCTGTATCTGAGACCAAGATCCCAGGTCCGCATGTGTTATCCAAAAATGTGTATGTGTTAGATAAGCCCATATGCCAGTGAGTGGGTCACAGCAGTGCCAAATTCTCTTTGAGTAAACATGAAAATACCCAGTCTCTCAGTAGGATTTCATTTTTAAGTCTGTTATTCTTCCATAACTGGAACAGCTGAAGAAAATTCTGTCACATTCTTACCTTTCTACAAGTTGCCTATGAAACACAGAATTAAAATCATTAACCTGGTGCACAAAATTTAGAGGTCTCTAAGCCACATGGGAGAGTTAAGGTAAAGAAGGGGTAATAATTAAGCCTCACAAAAAGTTTCATGAACTAAGGCAGCCTGGTTGTGCAGAGGAAAATTAACTGAAATTAAGTTGTTTGAGTGGGTTCTGAGAGATCCAAGGCTCAGGCAGACTTCAATCTGCCAGTCAGCCAGAGAAATAAATTGAGTCATGCCTCA